AACATTCATGCATTCATGCCATCCATCTGCTAAAACCAGTCCTTGAGGGAACTGCCGGGGGTTTATATAGAAGTTATTAATACAAGACTATGCATTGTTCGTAAGAAACTTAAGCAATTACATTGGGAGATTAAGGATTGGCTTAGAGTCTGGATGAGGATCTCTTCAAAAAAACGCTTGTACTAAGAAAATTCCCTATATCTATAAACTATATAAAATAATACCCCAAAAGGTATATTTGGACACTCAAGCCACATTTAAAAATGTATGAATGTAATTGAATAATATTCAACAAAATATCAGTATAATTGGCAGTTCTTGTCATTTTGTTATAGGTCTCAAATGCTAGATATACTCTTTTAAACGAAGACAAAGGTATTGTGACACATTATGGTTGTCAGATGTTGGTGGATTTTGTTTCTCTGACAGGACAACTGTGTGACCTTGAGCAGAACTGACATCTAATAAAACCTCCTTGGGATCTATTGATTAAAAGTCTTTGGGAAAATGGCTCAGAAAAATGAAGTTCTCGTTGTTTGTTTGCGGATGCTTGATCTGATATTTTCATATATGTGACTATTTATATTTTTAGTTGAATGAAAATGCAATATAGGCCTATATCAAATGCAATTAATTGAATTTAAGAGTAGGCCTACCTTTTTTGACTCCTTAAAGGGATAGTTGAAGGGAAAATACTATAGAAGTCAATTGCTGCCGTCATCTGTTTGGTTACCAACATCATTCAAAACATCTTCTTTTGTGTTCAGCAGAAGAAAGAAACTCATACATTTTTTTTTCTTTTTGGGTGAACTATCACTATCATGTATAAGTACATCTTTATATGTAATTTCAAAATGACTTCTATTGTCTTAGAAATATGGTTAAAGTGTGCCGATTGTACTGGCAAGCATTTACAGTAAATTATTATTGTCACTTCTATTGAAAAGTGTATGTCATGTATTTCAATATACTTGAAATTTTACATTTGCAATGATGAAGTTGCAATTTAGTACATTTATAATTCATTATTATTAAATGTAATACAGAGCAACACACTACAGTTAAAATTACAATCGAGGAGCATACTTTACATGTGCTTATGTTAGTAAACACATTAAAATAAGTGTACTTCTTTAAAGCGCGACAAAAGATTTGTAAAACATTTATTTAAAACTATTGCACTTATAAGTTCACTTTTTAAAGTGGAATGACATGAAAGCGTGTTCTCTTTAAGTACACGTATGTTTCCTTTTATTTCATCAAAATTATAAAATAAAAAAATAAAAACTTTTAAGGCGTGAAGTAGCCTACACTACAAGTGCACATTCAATGCAATTAAGCGCACTTTTTATTCACCAGGGTTTCCAGTGTCCCTTTGCTCTTCTCTTAACAAATCTACCGTTCGCCAAATCAGCCCTTCTTTCCATGCAAAGCACGAGATGTGGCTCCTCGTCCTCATTGTATTCATTCACTATCAGACATTGATGTTTTAGCAGAAGACGGAGGAATGCTCGCCAAGCAAAAATAGTCTCTCTGGAGTCAAAGCACCGCGGTGAAGCGCTTCATATCAGGAACAGAACGCCAAACCCGAGCAGTGCAGTCACAGCAGCCCAGCATAACACTGCTAACCTGCAAAAATAGTCTCTCTGGAGTCAAAGCATCGCGGTGAAGCGCTTCATATCAGGAACAGAACGCCAAACCCGAGCAGTGCAGCCACAGCAGCCCAGCATAACACTGCTAACCTTGACAGCGGTAACTGATACGCTATCACGTCTCTCACCGCGACACAGTTTAACTGCATGAAGCGACGGCCACTTCACATACAACTAACACAATTTAGACTAGAGATTTGACTCCAGGCAGTCAGCCTTTATGTTAAATAAATCAATGTAAGCGTTGTTTTATTATGCATTATGAATAAGCATGTAACATAAAATAATATGCATGCTTTTGTAAAGTTGCATAACCTAAGAGTTGGCCTACATCATTAATTCCCCTCATATTCACCTGAGAGCAACCCGTTTTGTCCATTATTGCTCATGGATATGATGGGTCTGTGACAAATAAAGGACGTCGAAATATTTTACAAATCCTTTTCAAAACACACGGGAGTTCATAGAAATGTAATCTTTGTAATCAAGTTGGTTTGTGAAACGCATTGATTCTATTTCGTGCAAACATTGGATTTAATGACTCCGAAATGTCAAGTGGTGTAACCACTAGGGGAGAAAAAATTACTGAAATATGTTCCTTTCATTTTCACACAATAGTCATTTTTAAAGAAGTTCTCAAGGTAGGCTAAATCATTTTTTTTGTTGTTTTGTGAGTCACATGAAGTTTTAAAACTTTATTTCATTTCAACAAAGCGTGCCTTTTCACAATGAATAGCTACATAAATAAATCTAGCCTAACGATAACAAACAGGGTCTATAATGGACCTCTGATTTATGGTTTTCTTAACAATATATTAATAGTTAACATTTAATTTATTTTTGTGAATACATCCGGACGGAATAAAAATAACGAGTGTTACGTGAATTACCTTTTTAAAAAAAAATAATAATAATAATTCAGACTTTGCCACGTCACTGACCCCTACATTTCTTTTTGTATATATCAGAGAAAGAAGGCAATAACTGTTTTGAGTCTTGGTGTAGGCTACTATATCTCAGAGAAAGTAGGCTATAACTGTTTTAAGTGCATCTTAAAGAGGACAACCGTGGCTTGTATAGCTACGAAATGCCAACATAATTATATCAGCTAATAAGTAAGGTAATCATATCATTGGATAATAATAAACTTATTTTAAAACAACGAAGCGAGAGAGAATGAAAACAACTATGTATAAAATAACAAAATGTAAATACTGTAATGTATACCAATCAGTAAGTATGAATCATGAATGGCCAAACCAATTTCTCTTTTATTTTTTTGCTGGTCTGATAATAAAATACCGCGGCTATAAAGACTGGCGCGCATCATCTTCTGGAGAGCTGTCACATGAGCGCGTTATCCAATGAAGACCTCTCCAACACTCAGATCCAGTGCGGAGGAAGACGTTCAGACACCGAGGAAGACCTCAGACCTGTTAGATTCGCTCCTGAAGTTTCTGAAGGTCTGGACGTTATATCACTGGAGCTGAATGATAAAGACGCTCGTTTGAAGCGGCTCACGCATGCTGGACATGCAGATTAATGGTAAGTCTCTACATTAGGTTTGGAAAACAATAATTCAGAAAAGCCTCCGTTCGAAAATGCGCGTCGCTTTGCCTCATTCATCCTCGTCACATTTTAAGTTTGTGTTCTCACGCTGTGAAGCGCAACCAATTTTATTTGATAGCTACAAAACATCGAAATACAGACAGATTAATAGCCTACTGATAATCTGAACAACAGAGTATAAGCGTCTCGTCTATAATATGCTATAAAATTGTTTTAAACGGCGCAGATGCAGATACATCGTTTCTCTAAAAATTGAATAGGCCTATATCATTAAAATATTTTATTGATTAATTTTTTTCTGCCGGTGAATTTTCAGCAGTAGGAAATAGCCTGTATTTGATTTGATATTCATTTTCATTTACCCTAAAGATATGTAGCCTAGTTAAACATGGGATATCATGGGATATGCAGGTAAGTGAATATAGTTAAATTGTGGTTTAATAGGTCCAAATATTAAATTAAACTGACACCGACATTGAAAAAGTTATTAAAGGGAAAATCTTCCATTTATGCCATCCATTAAAATCTGTGAGTTTTTTCTCAAGCAGCCAGAATTCTTTCCGTCAAACTTTATCAAGCTTAGCTTCTTGCATCAGTTTAATATTGATATATGTTCTTATATAAATATAGCTATATCAAATATATATGAACACAAAGCGGCAAGGACCTTTTCTGTAGCCTATATCGTTAGCTATTCCGAAACATTCAGAAGATTAATTCGACTCATTTTATTATATTATTTCAACACTTTGGTTATTTGGGTCTGCAGTTTTAATTTCCATATAAGAATCGTTGGTATTCATCGTAAATATTCATTCATTCGTCAGTAAATGATAATTAATAATGAAAGTATAGTAAAAGTACAATCAAATAATTTTTGCTATTTGAATTACAATTGCTTTTGATAATTGCCCGCTCAGTTATTTTAGTACGAAATCTACGGGTGAACTAAGCATCTTATACACGCGCGCGTGTGTGTGTGTGTTTTTCTATTCTGGTGGGGACTTAAACCTGAATACACACAGACTCATGGGGACTCGTGTCACGGCGGGGACCTAAATTGAGGTCCCCACGTGTAAACAAGCTAATAAATCACACATAATTAAGTTTTTTGAAAATTTAAGTTTCCTGTGAGGGGTAGGTTTAGGGGTAGGGTTGGTGTAGGGCAATAGAAAATACGGTCTGTACAGTAGAAAAACCATTACGCCTATGGAGAGTCCCCACAAGGATAGCTGACCAGACGTGTGTGTGTGTGTGTGTGTGTGTGTCGTGAAGTGGGCGTGGGAGTCGGTGGGTGGGTGGTGTCCATATAGGAGGCATGACAAGAGTCAATAATATGATCAAATTCATCTTTTCCTCTGCGTGTCCAGATACACGACAAAACAGATGCACCGAGAGCTCTAGATCTCCATCATTATTATTATTTTTTTTATCATTAACTTCTTTTTGATTTGATACTTTTACACAGTCTTCGTTTTATTCGATCACTGTTCAGGGATACGCTAAGGTATTTTATAGGCATTTTATAGTACATGCTTTATTTTATGTGGAATTGATGTGATGTTTAGATCATTATAACATTATACTGTGGTCAGAATGCACATGCACAAATAAACGGTCTTGAAAAGAGAATAATAATGTAGGCTATTTCTAAGTTTTTTTTAAATAATAATAAAATGAATGAAAATAAAATAGTTTTATTAAAAAAAATAATAATAATTCAAACGATCATAGCATCTCTAACAGAACCACATGCTTAATTTGTTGCCTCAATCACAGACGCATCTGTGAGGGTGATGGACTTCACAGCAGATGAGCAGCTGGAGGAGTTGTGTCCGGTGTGTGGAGATAAAGTGTCTGGATATCATTACGGCCTTCTTACCTGCGAAAGTTGTAAGGTACGAGACAATTTCTCTTTTGTTACGAACTCGTGTGCGTGTCGCGCTTTTTTATCGAAAATATTTCGGAAACGCTTAATAATTATAAACCAAAAAGTTTATGAACGGTGAAGGATTCCATGATGTAGCTAGCCTAGTGCTATGAAAATCATTATACGTAACACTCTTCGTTAATGTTAATGGAATTTATTTAGTCATTGATGTATTATTATTTAGTAATTATTTAGTAAAGTAATAACATCCTTTGGTAAACTGTCCTTGTTATGCATGTTACATGTAATAACAGTAGACTATATTATGAATGCATGCATGCAAATAACCCTAAACCAAACACTAAGCACCTGTTGTTAATATTACTCAGTACTTAAATGTATAATTGCCCTGTAACAAGGACACCTTAAAATAAAGTGTAACCCAATATCTTTTTTTTTTGTTTGTTTGTTTCATTATGTATTCAAATTCATACTGCATTTGACTGTCAACAGACAGTCTATTCACATTTACATCCATATTCCTGTAAGAAAGCCAAAACTCATTTTTTAGATGGTCTGTTAATTTAGAACAGTCCAATATGATTACAGGCTATATTGCTGTTGTTTTTAAACAGAGCTTGACAGAATATAATCCTTATTGTGTGCATTATCATGACAGGGTTTTTTCAAGAGGACGGTTCAGAATAACAAGAGATACACGTGCACACAGAACCAGGACTGTGGCATTGACAAAACCCAGAGGAAGAGATGCCCCTTCTGTCGCTTCCAGAAGTGCCTCAGCGTCGGCATGAGACTCGAGGGTGAGCCGTGCTTCTCGTTACAAAAGTTACATGTGGAGAAAACAGAAAAACTTTTGCTGTAAAGAAGCCAAATCAAAGATATAAGATGTCTTGTCATTTAAAAAGCCACCTTGAATGTCCTGATTATATTACTGTTGTCTTGAACAGCTGAACCTGAGAGAATATAATGCGTATTATATGACATTAAATCATGTATTATATGTGTTTATGTTTATGTTATATTTCAACAAGCATTGCTTGTCATTAAAGACATTTTAGTAAAATATAAAATATATCTGGAGAAAAGGGAAAACATTTAATGCAAAATTTCATTATCATGATTGAATATTTAATGACACTCCTTATGGAGTTTAAACTCAGAAGATGAAAAGATTAAAAAATATCTAAAAAAGCCTGGATTTACTTAAAAGTAATAAAGACCATGTGTTTTGACACATTGGGCAACATGTATATCTACACCAGTTAACATCTTGTTAAAAAAATATTTTAATATTTCATAGCCATTTATAAACAAGTGACCCAAGCTTATTTTCTTCCAAATTAATTTCAATTGTTATTAAAGTACTTATTTATTTTATTGAAAATTTTCAGGGATGGAAAATATTCTTGTCAGTGTCTTATTTTGCTCTCTGGGCGCGCGATTCCCAGGCCGAGTGCAGAGAAGCACCTGTTTCCGCGCACGCCTGTGACACATTCCTCACGCGCTGATAAGACTCGCGGATTCATGTTGAGAGTTCACAAAAACCAGGCCGGAAAATGTCCATATGAAGAGAAATATCCATTTGTTTGTGCCCTGACTTACTTAAGCAAAACCGTGCCAAGCATTCCTTGCTTTATTTGGCTTTTTATCCACTGTGCTCTTAAAATAGGCTTACATTTCCAATTGTATCAGACATATGTTGCATGTCTGCAAAATGTAAATAATATTTGATAAGTTTGATATGCATCCTATAACACTCTCAACCTCTTTCCTCCCAGCTGTCCGTGCAGATCGAATGAGAGGAGGAAGGAACAAGTTTGGTCCCATGTACAAGCGGGACCGTGCCCTAAAACAGCAGAAGAGAGCTTTAATCAGAGCCAGCGGCTTTAAAATAGAGGCCAACCCATCCCTCCTGTCCAGCACCCAGACAGAATACCCGCTTCCCGGATTGCTCTCAGGGCTCCATCCCACTTCTCTGTCCTCTCCGGAGTACGACTGCCCTCCTCTCTGCCCCCCGGCCCTGGGTGTAGCGCTGCAGAGCTATTGCTCATTCCCGGCTCAGTACCAATACACTGCTCCCTCCTTACCCAGCAGATCGATTAAAGCCGAATATCCAGACGCATACTCCAGTTCACCAGACTCCTCACTGGGGTACCCATACCCTGATGGCTGCATGCCCGCGTCCCCGCACACCAGCCCCATGAACCCCGGCTTGCCCCCGCTGGTGCTCGAGCTGGTCAGCTGTGATCCAGATGAGGAGCAGGTATGAGTTAAATCATCTGGAGATTAATCCGTTCACTAAAAAGTGGGAAAAATCTACTTTATTTAGCCTATAAACATGACTTTAAAATTGAAACCAAATTTTTTCAGGTTAATTTAGTCAGATTAAATGACTTGGACGAAATCAGTTAACTTAGATGTTACTAAACTAAGCACAATTTTGTTTACCTGAAAAATCACTTTTTCTAATCATGAAAAAAAATCTATCACTGATTGAACAATAATTCACAAACTGTGTCTTTACAGTTTTTACAAACCTGTTCTGAATGCAAAAGAAGATTTTAAACATTAAAAAAAAACATTGGACCCCATTGACCTTTGCCACTTAATTTTGTCATATAGGTTTGGAATAACATGGAATTGTTGGATTTTTATTTTTGATTGAACCTGAGGGAGGAGAATTCTGGGATTTCAAAGGGTGCGTTGTTCAATTCAAACCTTTGGTATTTCTAACTTAGATGGTCAAAACAGACCAAAGACAAGTGTAACATTTTTATTTTTATTTATTTAACTATTATTACTATTAATGTTTTTATGGATGTTCTATATTTTAGTTTAATAATATAATATTTTTTGGTATCATTTAAGATTCCATTTGTTAACATTAGTTAACTACTGTTCGTTAGTTAACATGAAATAACAGTAAAAATACAGTACATTGCATTCATTAATCTTAGTTAATTTAAACGTTTACTAATACAACAGTACATAATCCATTACAAATAAAACAATACAAAAATCAAAAGTTATAGAATATTTAATGGACCTGAGCTAACATGAATGTACAATGAGCAAGGTATTATTATTAACTAAGATTACCAAAAATGAATAAATACTTAAACAAATGTATTAGTCATTGTTAGTGCATTAACTACCTTTAGCTAATAGAACCTTATTGTAAAGTGTTACCACTTTTTCTTTAGTATTTTGTATTTTGAGGGAACTAAACAACATTTGCCACTAAATTACATGACATTTATTTCAATATTAAATAAAAAAAATAATAAAATAAAACACATGTTTTATACTGTTTTTCAATTCTGCAGTATTTAAAGGGGTCATATGATGCTGCTAAAAATAACATTATTTTGTGTATTTGGTGTAATGCAATGTGTTTATGCAGTTTAAGGTTTCCACATACTGTACATTATTGTTTCTCCTCTATGCCCCGCCTTTCTGAAACGCGTCGATTTTTACAAAGCTCATCGGTCTGAAAAAGCGAGGTGTGCTCTGATTGGCCAGCTATCCAGTGCGTTGTGATTGGCCGAATACCTCAAGCGTGAGACGGAAATGTTACGCCCCTTAACATACTGTGATGCCGTGTCCCAGCAGGACGAGACTCAGTCCAGCTGCTCTGCTTGTGCACATCCCATCATCGGTTCTCTTTTAGCAGTTCAGTCAATGTACTGTTAGGAGTAACTGAATAACTCGGGATATTGGTTTATTTCGTGTCAGAGGGCGTGTCAGGCATGTTTATAAACCAAATAACTTAAGCAATTTGTGGATTAGTGCGTACTGGAGACACAAACCGCGATCCGGACATCACTAGACGAGACAAAACCAATAAAACCCATTACAAACGAGGCATTTGTTGCATCCAGTGGGGACATAATTACTGATTATAATGACTTATACTGTCTTTTTACGCGTTGCGTTGC